AGAGGACAGTTTTATATTATTGGATACGGTAACATGAGTGCATATGTGCCACATCATTGTAGCTTCTGTATTGTTAGCCAGGCACGACTGAAAGGTCAATATAATAAAAATAATAAATGTATAACGTTATGAGATTTAAGCTATTTAGTCTAAACATTTATGTTTTCGTGTTATAATTTGTAGTTATTCTAGAATGAAAGAGGCATAATTTATATTTATTTCCTAATTTTTTAAGGTGGTTACAAGATCAGTCATATCAACCAAACCTGTACAAAGATTCATTACTGAAAATAACAGATAAAATATAAAGTTTTTCTTAAGAAACATTTGATAACTATCTGGACATTATAAAGATTTTGCATGTGAAATTTTCTGATTCATAAAAGTATTTTTAACCTTAAAATGAAAATTACTTGGCATGTTGGATAGACATGTGAAAAGAAAAAAAGGCTTAAGAAAAATTTTGCTTTACAAACCTTAAGACTTAATAAAAAAATCTGATATTTTGGGTATGAAAATATTATAATGTTTACTGATAACCTGCCAAATTTTGTTAACATATGCTTACTAATTTAAAAGTTATAGCATAAAAACTATAACAAACACAAAATGGTTATGAGTTCAATCCAAGGGACAAAGCTGAAAGAGTTAATGTATTATGAAAATTTGCATATTTACACCGTCAGGTGTATACCACCCCATCACCCCTTAAAAAAGTTAAGGTCATCTCTGGAGCCAATATAGGGGCATATGATTTGTTTTCTATAATCTCTTGTCACTGAAAGTGAGCCCATTTGATCCACAGCCACACTAAGTTATGGTTCCCCCTTCTGAACATCCAGGACCTGCCTATGTATTTACAATAAACTCCTTAATTATCCTGAAAGACCATACTCAGGAACCAGTTCACTACATGACTGAATTAATGAGAAATAAAATAGTTATTCTTGTCCTCTCCAGTATTGTTCATTTCCATGTATGAAAGATAAATTTCTGTATAAGGAAATATTAAGAATATTATATAAAATTTCCAGAACATTTAGACAAAATTTATGAATTCCAGAACTTTCCTTGAGATTGTTATTATGATTTCAAGTTTTCAAGGATTTCCATACCACATATGGCATGTGACAATATAATTCCATATATAAATAGATACATATGGATACATGAAATTTTGGGAACTCGGTCCCAAACATGGTTATATCAATGAACAAGGAATCTAGTTCCCTATCAAGGACTCAATTCTTTAAAAACAATTTAATGTTTCATAAGTGTGAGCACTTATAGTTACTTTGTGGCTAAAATGCTCTTTTTTCTGCCCGAAACATTCTTCAGACATTAATCAAAGTAATATAAATATAAACATATGTATTATCCAATAAAAACCATCAGTCGTTAGTGATGAACTAAAACCTAAAATTAATATCAAAAGTTTATAAAACACTTCACATCTCCTAGGGACAAAACACTAAATCTTTACTTATTTACCAGCATTCAAAAATTAAAAGGTGTTACAATAATGAACATTTTAATAAACATTATTTATTTAGAGAAGTAACTTGTAACAGATTCTTACGTGTACATCCACTAGATGTGAATCCATAGAAACCAGGAAGACAACTGTTACATTTTTTGCCACCAATTCCTGGTTTACAACTACACTGCCCAGTTGTGATATTACAATCAGAAGAAGTAGAGCCAGTACTATGACAGTCACACTTCTCACATCCTTTACCAGAGATTAAGTTCCAGTATCCAGGCTATTGGAGAAATAAGGAATCATTACCTATACTGGGCACTTGTTTATATTAAAACTTCTTAATAAAATATAAGATGGTATATTCATTAAATATTACAAAGATAATATTGTGGGAAACAAACTTACTTTCTACTACCACATATCCCTTGTACTTGCCTGGTAATTGATATTGTTAACACATAACACCAAACAAATATAATATTCTGGAAACAAACTTACTTTCTACTACCACATATCCCTTGTACTTGCCTGGAAATTGATATAGTTAACACACAACACCAAACAAATATAATATTATGGGAAACAAACTTACTTTCTACTACCACATATCCCTTGTACTTGCCTGGAAATTGATATAGTTAACACACAACAC